AAAAAGAAAAAGCAATGAAATGAAAATCTTATGATGAAGTCGAATGTTGATAATATGGTGAAGAAAATGTATACGGTGATGAATATCGACTTGCAGCAGCTGCTGCTAATGTGAATGGATTGGTTGAAGATGTAGGTCCAATTGATGTCATTGTCGAATAAGTAAATGGATATGTTGGAGCAAACCGAGAATAATGTGATGCATATAAATTTGGATCATATAAATGACTTTGATGAGAATGAAATTGATTTTCATATGAATCTGTAAATGGAGTTGTTGAATCAGGAACATCAACAGTACTACTTGTAGGTGCAATACGTGAAGGAGGTGTTTGATCTTCTTCACCAGAACTTGATTTACATCGTTTTGTTGATTCTGATGTTGTATATAGATCTATAGAAAAATCATAAAATCAATATATTTTAGTTTTGGTTGAATATCATTCATACCATTACATTTAAGTCTTCGATCATAATCATCATCAATATGTCGTTTAATCGATTTAACATCTCTATAAATCAAGAAAAAAAAAAGATATTTATTAAATTGTTTTTATATTTTATTTAATCCATACTTTCGATTAGCATGTCCATTATTTTCACGAAAACCTTTAGCAAACTATAATAAATAAGAAAAATATAAATCTTTTTTTCTTTTTACTTCGATTATTTGATATATTACATACTGGATTATTATCGATTTTTAATCGAGTGACCTAGAATATAGATAAAGAATATTTTATTAAAAGAAAACAAAAAAGAAATATTATATAAAAATATTTACATGTTCGTTTTGATAAGCAGTTACGGCAATAAATTGAGTCTCTGGGAAGACGAATATATTGACATTATCCAATGGTGTCATAGATAATTTCGTATCATTATTTGATGAATTAGCAGCTTGAATTATATGAAGACGAGGAATATATTTATGCATTGAATTTAATACAATCTTGAAAAAAAAGACAAAGAAATATTTTTTTAAAAAGAAAATCAATAAAAAGAAAACTGACATGTCCATTTTGATCCGTTGTATTATTTGTTAATTTAAGTTTGCTAAATGATAATGGTTGTTTCATCAATTGTGCTCCAGTTGAATTACTATCCGGATGAGGATAAAAACGACCTGGCACTAATAAAAAAAGAGAATATTTATTTGACTCAAATGTAAGACATTAAACTTACTATGTGGTTCAGCTGCACCAGTAACCATCCATTGAGAATTATGATATTTGTATCGATGATTATCAACAGGTACAACATCCATATATACAATATATTTACTTGTTGGATCGAGTCCAGTTAGTGAAACTTTAAAAGTTGGAAACATACGCCTTAAAAAAAAACAATATAAACATTGACTACTGCTGTGTGTATGTTGAGAACAAAAATCAATTAGTTGTTCAACCATCATTGACGTCATACAATAAGGAAGCATCAGTCAATGAGCAGATGCATCCAACAGTGGCTATGTCACCCACTCAATATATAAAACACCAACTGGGCATGAACACACATCTCTCAAGAGATTGAAACAATAAGGTGAGCAGAGCACAGCACACACATACAACTTGATCAACTAGTCTACTTAAGTGACGAGAACGATTAAGTGAGAGAAAAGAACTTGTCAGCTAATTATTCTTCGATAGAATTTCAACAAAAATCAATTGTTTGGATGTCAATAAAGAAAAAAAAA